ACTCACTTTCCAAATAATGTTGCTTGCCGACAAAGGTACTTCTACATATGGGTTATGATGAGGAGCTCAATCTCTTTGAAAAACGGATATCGATTTTGCCGCACTGATGGAATTCGAACAAAACTGGAAGTTGAATTTTAGTTAGACAGCTTAAGAGATTCAGACAGGTCATATATTCGGAAAAATCAGATTTTTGGAATTGCCGAAGTCCCTATCTCGGACTCTGTACAGTGCATTCAACCATAACAGTAGAAATGGTCACCATATGCTGTATCAGTTTAGACAGTTTTTGAGACAGAAAAGGTTCTCAATAACAGCATAGAAAAAACATTCTTTCTCAACCCATCAAGAACACATGCGCCAAGCAACCAGAGCTCAAGTACTACAACTTAATGTCTTCACAAATGCTTCCAGTAATAACTTGCAGCCAACTATGAAACCAAGATTTCACACATCGACTATCACTCAGCTCAGAAAGAACACCTACATCATGTTACCGCCAAGACACTTATACCTCTATAATCATACCATTTAGCTTTCAAATAGTTCAAAAATCGAACATAATACAGACTGTGCATATATCTTCCAGAAGCACACTAAAATTATGGAAAGGACATTTAATTGTTGAAAACAGTATATTCCAAGCAAAGTTAAAAGCAATACATAAGATAATGGATTATGAACTAAAGTCAACAAATTGGATATGTAATTACAAATGATAATCAGCATTACATGCCTTTAGAAACACATAACTGCATGGTTATGAATAAAATACAACAAATACTAAGAAGTTAAAAGCATGAGCAAATTTTTTATCATTTCATGGATCAAAGAATATGAAGAATATAGACAGACACATTTTCAAAACAAACTGTTTTAGACACAACAGCAATACACACATCATGCCCAGTCATATCACTATCAATCTCTGACAAATAGCAATGGCAGTATAGTAGTAGGAATGGGATGCCATACAAAAGGAAAGGACGACTTTCGATATATTTCCAAATTTTCACCAAAATTAAGAATATGGTGACAAATATAGGGACAGATTTATGTCATCCTAGATGAAGAATTTTTCCATCTGATAAAAATTTCCAACATGCTTACAATTTTTTTTCATCCTCTTTTAGTTTTTTGCACACATAAAATACATTAAATAATTAGCTTCCATTTTACAATTTCTATAAACTACATTCGAGGCAAGTAATCATCCCAAGCATTGCATTGTCAGAAATATACTATGAATTTGCTCTTACAAATCTGCTCAAGCACTGATGCTGAAGAAGTACTGCACATTAACTGATTTTCACATAGAAAAATTTCAGTCAAAAGGCAACACGGTTGACCCCAGGGTAAAGCAGTTCCTGTTCTAAACTGTCAACTCTTCCTTTCCCCTACCACTAACCTCTCCAATAATTTTAGCTTGACAGCACTCATATGCCACAAAGGCACTACAGACATCTATGCTTTGTCCATGATTCCAACCTGAGTCCAACATTATGGCATTCAGGCCTTTTCACTCCCATACAGAGCAGAATGACTTATTTCTCATTTTAATGAACTATTTAATTAATGAAGTTCCACATTTTTCATCACAGTTTGATCATAACTGTCATTTAATGATATTATATCATTAAATGTACTTTACTGACAAACAACTGATGATTTTTAGGAAAAGACTGATTACTATAATATTATTTGTTTTCCATGTTAACTTGAATTTCTTTTACTTAGAAGCATTTAATTTAGAAAACACATCGTCATCTTTACTTCATAGGGGAGGCAAATTTTTAGGTGAAACAAAATAACAACAAACAAATGGGGGGGGGAAGAAGGAAGAATAGATTTACGACTTCCTAGATATTTTCACATGTTCATATTCATCACCAATTTTCTGACCAGCTATGATAGCAGATATTTTACTTTCTAATGAATAATGCCTTAACTAATTTTTTTAAACAGATGACATATTGTAATAATAACCACGATTTCTTTTCTTCAAGGCACTGAAAAATAGAATTTGCGGTTAAACTCGCTGAAAAGTTTGAAAAATGTATTTATATGTTATGATACATAAACAAAGAGGGGACTAGGATTTGCTGATTACAGAGAGTGTATAGTAAAATTTATAAATATCAAAATAATTTTTGAACACAGAAAGTTAGAGTCATGGAAGGTGCTTCACCCTACAGTAAAGTAAGTGCTCCATCATATGATATACTTTGCAGTGCCTCTAGAAGTGAATTTTAGATGTTAGCTATCTTATCATTAAAATTATGAGAAGTAACAAACAAAAGACAACAGCAAAAAGCGTACAGAATCATTAATTTAGTATAGAATGATGCCTTAAATATGCCAAAAACTTGAATAGAAGCCCTGAAATGCAGACCCCTTGGTATTAGTAACAAACAGTAAACTGAGTATGAATCTAAAGAAAAACACACGTATTAGCTTAATTCAATCCTACAATTCAAATATTAGGTATACAATCCCATCTAAATGGTTTAAATTCACTAAAAGTATAAATTTCAGAATTTTTTGTATTAGTTCATACCTTCATAACAGTTGCATACAAACACTTCATACCATAAAGCAGTTTATTTCACACATTAACGGCCATTAAAATATTAATCTCTTTTTCATATATATTTCATTCCTATCGCTATACTATTGAATGCAATAGTTTTATACTAGTGATAACTATTTGATGTAGCATTTTGGACTTAAATGAAGGCAGCCTCACCAATGGCTGGGTGGTTAAAACCACTGGTTGTTCGACCCACAGTTAAATCTACATGAATGAGTTACTTTTTCCCCATATGTAAGCTGAAACAAGCCAGTTTTCCTTAGAGTCCTTCAAGTAGGTATCCTTGCCCTTAGGCAGATAGCCCTCATATGCAATAACTTTTAGGAAGCATTGGCTGCTATAGACTAAATATGACTATGTGCAAAAAGGAGAGGATATACACATGTTATTTCTCATTACACAAACAGTATTGAGTTACAACTTCACAAACTGTTTGACGAGATATATACACAATCCTGTGTATGGTTAGATGTTTTTTGTGCACCTTTTAATTCTTAATATTGTTGTTATTCTCCCAACCTTAAAAAAAGTGACAGAAATTTAGCAATTATCATGATGATCTTGCTCCATTCTCATATAAAATGTTCCTGATTTTGTCAATCTTTATGAATTATGATTAGAGGAATGATTTGCTTTTCTACATTAAATTAAAAGGCCATTCAGTATGTATTTCCTATCTTGTAGTGCAACTTATTTTCACATATAATATATAAAGTTTAATAAATTTCCATGAAAATATTAACAACAATTATATTTCTAGACCCAAAGTTTATCACAGAAGAAAACTTCTTTTGAAAGTTAAATTATTATTTGAACTAAATGGATCATAAAATCTGCAGGGAGGTAAGACAAACTATAACGCGACAAAATAAGCAAGCTCAAATTATTCTTAGAGGTGCACAGTACCTTAGATTTAAAATCAGTCTGCAGATGCACTAGTGTGCACATAAGAATGCTATTTTAAACATACTCTGTCTTTAAACAATAGTCCTGACCATTAAATACATAGACACATGCAATTTGGACCAATCTTTCAGCACTTATGCACACTTTGACAGACAGAATGATTTTCATTTTACTGCAATTTTCTTGAAACTGTAGATGATACTACACAGTGTTTCCTCACTGCTCTTCATTAACTCTTGAAACCAAGTTAAAATGTAAGAATCCTTTAATAACACATAAAAGGAAGAAAATACACTGCAAGAGTGCAATAAAAATAATGTACTTTAATTATTAGTTTATTTGATAATGTTTGAACTATTTACAGCTTATAAATTCAGTTTTACCTTATTCATCTGTATTTATCTTATAAATTTCACTTTAGTCTGAAACTGTCTGCGATTACCCGAAATTCCCCATTTTAGAGCTTATTATTCATAGATGTATGGGCACTGCTCTGTAACTATTTTGAAAACATTATGTATGTTGCTAAAATGTGACAAAAATTGGGTGAAAAAAAATCTTGCTAATGAGCACTGAGCAAAAATCTCATGATTCTCAATTCCTATTCTTTTTTTCCCCCATCTCAAAGATTTAATCAACTCACAATATTAAAGTAAAATATAATTTTGAGATACCGAATAAATGTAATTTAGTATAATAAATGTATTTATTATTAGCAATACATATTACATTATTTTTATTGTTTTCATCTCTTATTTAAAGCTTTTTAAACATCTTGAAAAAGATGGATCTTTATTTAAGGATTTTATAATTTTTAATTTACAAAGTTCATGGTCTCAAAAAATAGATATTACGCCTTCAGAAAAATTTACTTTGCAAGCCCCATGTATAAGCAATATATGGTCAGCTCCAGCTTTATGATGAAATTACATTGTAGAAAACTTTTCTCTGCAACTAGAATTTTGAATAGCTCAATTAAAAATATACAATTTACCTTCTACATTTTGAGATTGTTATTTAAACAAGTGGATCTCTTAGCTTAAAGTTGTTTTAGGTGTTCAATATAAATCTGTATATAAATTTCAGACTGTAAGATCAGACTGCAACTTCTTTTTAATTGCACAATTCTTCTTATTGGTTTGAAACTTTAATGGTAAATTCTTCAAGGTATAAAATGTAGTCTGAAATTTTCAGATTGCAATGTTTTTTAAAATCTTTCTTTCCCCCCGTTTTTGTGCATAAATTGAACCCCCTCTTTTGTTAAGATCACTCTATTGTACGATTTGCACTGCAAATTTATTTTCACATCCTGTTAATATATAATAGTTGAAGTTAAACAGCCAGCAATTAAAGCCCAATAATAGCAATAAAAACTTCATCCTCTAGGCACTACAATACAGCTTTAAAATCTAGAATGCGACTTCAATATTTGTTTGTATATATAGGTTAATTTTATTTTTAAACAAATGTGAGATAGAAAAATGAATTAACACTCAAACAAATATTATAATGAATTTCTGTATTTCTTCTTCTATTGCTCTCTATAATACACTGCCATTGTAAGAAGACAGATTCACGTCTCATTTGTACAACAAAGATGACTGTGAAGATGAAGCACTTGGTCATATTTAGGAAAGAAGGCAAACCTATCACACACATACGTACAACACATCAGTGTGGGATGACAGTTCCTTCTTGGCAGCTTTTTCACAATGGTGGTCAATGCTCTCATGCACTTCTAGTAAACGAAAGCCCTTGCAGGAGATGCCAGCCAAGTGAAGGGTTAGCAAATTGAAATGTTTTTAACTTAAATATATGAGTATTTCAACAATTAATTATTTAAACTTATCAGCATACTGAATTTTTTATAACAAAAATGAGTAAATATGAGGCACTATTTCTATGTATCGAAAATTTTTTAGATGATTACAGCAATATGCTCAGAAGCAAACAGTAATTGATGAAGGCTGCTGCTATTTGTTTCACATATAAAAATAAATATGGTTCTAAATTTTTAACAACAGAATGATAATTCAGAGGTTTTCAACATTATTCAATGTCACTTACATGACATCCAGCTCAGATTTAGTAATGTGAATGTACAGCAAAATTTAAATTTGTTACGCATAATATTAAGAAGAAATCAAACATAACTGCCAAACATTCTTTACACAGGATAGAGGAAAAATACTTCTCAATAGTGAACTGATATAATGCCTTTTCAATGTACTAATTTTTCTTAATAAATGCAATAATTGTTAAATATGAAAAGGCCATATTTCTTCACTAAATGTCACTGCAACACTATTGACAATTATATTTCAAAAATCAACTTGTCATTTAAAGATAATGAAACTCTTAGTCATCCCAACTAAAATAAAACTGCACCAAAAAGTACAGGTAATTTTAAAACAGATATTAATAATAGTAGGAAAATTTCAATATTTAAGTTTAGGAAAATTTAAATATAAAATCAGACTAATAAGTGTTTATATGATTTTTCATTTTTTTCCTCAAAGGAAGCAGAAAAGATCACCAACACGAATATCTTGGCTGACAATGCTGCAAGCAAACTTTTTCAACAAACATAAATCACACTAAAACTGGAATTTCATTTCATTCAAGGTTAAAGGCAACAAACAGAGCATGATATGCTTGAAATGTAATTTGTGCATGTGTTTTATGGGAATGATAGAGAAGCAACAGTTTTGTCCCTGGGGGAATGTATGGACTCTCCAGATTACAACTTTGCACAGCGATTCTCTGACAGACATTGATAATGGCAGTGAATAAAGTATCAACAAGTTACACAGATCCATTCAAGTTCTAAACATACCAAATTACACCAAAAAAGGTTATTTATATTAAGCATTCAGCTGATGAGGTATGAGTATGCACAAATAGTTTTTAATAAAAAATTAAATTATAAAATTTCAAAAATCTGAATAATAATTAAGTAGTAAATTATGAATTTTAACTATAGAAGAAATAATAATAATTTTTTGTTCATATTTGTACTATATTCTATAAATAAACTGTAATACAGTATCAGAATGATTTTGATTACACACAGTTTTTCACATATAAATACTTAAAAAAAAAAGGTGAAATTTATTCCTTATTTAATACATAGTAGAATGTCAGTGTAACAAACAGAGCACATAATTTAGCCACTCTTATATTGATATAAAAATGACCACCAAGGTCATAAATGTACCAGAAAGAACATGATATCTAACACTTTGAGGTGGTCACATTTATTAGTATCAGAGGCACACTGGATGCAGGATAGTGACAGAAAAAAAATTTTCTTTCCTCAAGATGAAAATTTCATTGTTCTAACATCCAAGTGTAACCACTTGGAAATTACATGTTTTATGTCTTTTTCTTAACACTAAAATATCAGTGCTGTTAATTCATCAAACCTTAATTCATTAAAAAAAATACTGCTAATCAAGTTAGATAAATTCACCAAAGTACTTTTCTTGAAAAAGTTCTAGAAAGATTTTTAATATAAAATCTTCACAAAATGCACAAAATATAATGAACAAAATATGGGTTTTTGCCCTTCAAATATCAGTAATTAATGTAATGCTACTACTTAAAGTGAGTAATGTTGGTAATATTTTCATGTTTTAAGCTCTATAAACTTGAATTGAGTAAGGAGAAAGTTAGTATTGAGAACTATTACTTTTTTAAAAAAAATTTTTGTACGTTTAATTTTTAGTTTAATGATAGTATCAAATAATACCAACCCTTACTTATGGTCATACAGACGTATATATAAAAATGTGCAAAAAATTACAAAAAGGAATGGCTTAAAGAATGCAACAATAAATATTAATAAATTATAACATATTAATAATTAACTACCATTCTTATTTTAACCAGGTTAATATTAAACTGACATGTTCAGTACATACATGAAATAATACTGATAGGGCACAACAGCTTTTGTGAAAACTGCATCAAAAACTTTTATGTTCAAGAAATGCTTCCTTTTGCATTCTAAATTTACAAGAAACTATTCTGACATAACCAATATATTAACTATCATTAGCAACTAGTAATTACCATTTAGATGTTTCAGAAATGATTTTTAATATTTTAACTTTTGATTTCCATTAGTTATACTGACATTAAACTGTATAAAATTCTAACATGGATCAAATTTAAGGGATACTGTAACAGCTTTATGGAAAACACAAAATAAAAGAATGAGTATAATGACATAAATAAGATATTGAAAACAGCCAAAGAAAATGTTTGCAACCATTATATTATTATAATGATTATCTTCAAGTAACTGATGCAATTCTTATACAGTAGAAGATGAAACTGGAACTTGCAGGAAATTGCCAAATATAAAATTCTCTTTGAAGACTGGATTAGATTATATATAAATATGAAAATAAAATAACAATAACTGATAAAATATAGCAGCCACGTTTGAAGGACATTAGATATTTTGAATTTTGTATTGCAATTATATAGCCCAAAATGACATAACAATAAATGCAAGCTTTTTAAATCAAATAAATACAATATCTATGCTAAGTTATACAAAAAAAAAAAAAAAAAAAACATTTCAACAACTATATTCTATGTACATAATACAATTAAAAAGAAAAAATATTTTAAGTATAATCTAGTACATAATCATGGCTTCAAAAAGCCCCAACACACATTAACTTGTCATCAAAAACTAAAATATTTGACTCATACAGGGGAGGGGAGAAGAGTTTCATTATTGAAAACACAAGTTTTATTGATAAATATAATGACTTAATGAAAAGTGATGCAATATCTATTAAACAGATGATATGAGTTGAACTAAAGGTCAATGATTTTAAAAATACATTCTTTGTTAAAAAAAGTTTAAATTTTTCACCTCAAATGTTTAATTCTTATTTTTGATAACCACTATCACAAAACGATAATAATATCAAATTTAATTATAATCTGTTATAAAAATGCAAATATTCAGTGACTAGGAAACTTATTTTGAATACCACACCATTATTTGAATAAAATAAATTCAAACCTTTTTAGGGGAAAAAAAAAGAAAAGATAAAATATGAATGAAATAAAATGAACTAAATAAAATGAGGAAAAAAATATCCACCTTTTTTTTGTGATATAAAATGCGAAGTTTAATTGATATTTTACTAGAATTTTTTAAATTTCAAATTCTCAATTTTTAAATCACTGAATTAATTATTCAAAATTTTTGACTTTGCTATATAATAACACTAATCACAAATAATTCATGCCCTTACTTAAATGCTTCTGCCACCAAAAGCATGACTCTTCTTCCTTTTACAGTTTTCATTCATGAAATTATATAAAAAAAGCAATTTCATTTTCCACTCATTGACAACTAGCCATCAAAGCTTCAATTTATTAATTATTTTTTTAATTTTTAATATATATATTAGTTTCAATGAGAATAAAACACATTCTGACATAAAATTAGATAAAAAGAATTGCTTTCTTGTAACTAAAAAAAAAACAAAATGATGATGGGGGGGGGGAAAGAAAAATTAGCTTTTATAGCATAACAAACAAAATTAATACTACACATGTATCTTTGTTTCATGGTTTATGGCAAATACATTTGCTTCACCATGAAATATACAGCTCAATTTAAAAACAAATCACATGGCTGGCAAGATGAGTATTTAGTTCACATTATAAGTGAACATTAAATATAAATGAATGAGATACTGATGATAGATGATTATTCTGGACTAGCATTTTAATTTCATAACCACAGATAAGTAGAAATATCATTCCCATGTATAAAGAATTTTCTTACATAAAAATTTAAGCCATGCTATTAAAAACATATATGTCATACAAATATCAATATATAATTTAGCAGATAATGTTTAAGAAAGAAATATATGCTGAATTTAAGTAATAATGTTGTTAAAAATTCTGAATTATTATTAGGTACATCAAATATTAAAAATTCCTAAAAAATTCTTTTACAGCAATTTCATGCCAAAAAGACAAAAATAGTTGAATATTGTACAACAAAAATTCAATAAATTTACCTAGGAAAAGATACAACTTTACATAATGATTCACAGGATGTGTTTTAAACACTTTTCATAAGCAAACATTTATCAAAATAGACTGGTGAGTTTATAGTTTTATAAACCACAAAATTTCAAAAAGACATCAGTGCTATAAAAATAAAAAAACTCTGTTACGTAATAAAACGTTTCAGGTTTATCCATAAAGGATTTATGAGTGAAAAACTTAGAACAATAATATAAAAAATGAAAATGACAAAAATCAGAGATTAGAATACAATATACAAACGTATTCCTTCAAAGCTGCTTTTCTTCTCTTCAAGTAGTAAATTTGCAAATGAAAAATATAAAATTAATGATAAAATGTTCCATAAATATGCACAAATGCACAGGAATATCTTAAAAAAAAAAAAAAATGTTTTTGAGTTAATGCAAAAGTAGTTCAATGTAAAAATTAGAACAAATAAAAATGAAAATATTTCTGACTGCAGTTTAATTGGTACCAGTCTAATATTATCAAAGCTACAATAAACACAATACTACAATAAATACAATTATCAAAGCTACGATAAAATATGCTGCTACAATAAACACAAAGAAAGTTATAAAACTTCACCTACAAGTTGAAATGTTAGGTTGAAAGAAGAGAGGTGGTAACCCGAACAGGTTTCCCGATCTTCAGTTAGGAATGAGTAGTAGCTATGTCACTGATCAGATCATTGCATTAAAAGATTTCTAGGAAATCCAAATTAAAAAGCTAATAGTTAAAGCAATGATTGTGGCTTCCAAAAAATGAAAAATAAGATATTTACCCCATCAATGGGAAGCAATTGAAAGTTTTTGACTCCTTTTTGTTTCACATAACTAATATGCTCCTTCACTTTGAATTTAATCCTTCCCACATCATTCATAAAATTCCATGTGAGTGTGATCTTAAGTATAAATCTTAAAATTCAGGGTGAAGGATCACATTAGGTGCGTAAAACAAAAGTCAATCAGAAGTTTCAATAGGTCAAGGCTTTCGTTGGGTTAAAACCACAATTTTAATATTTCAGAATTAAAAATTATTGTTTGTAGCAAATTGTATTTAATTTGAATTTCCAAGAAGCTTTAGAAATCCTGTTATACAACAGTCTGGTCAACGATGCAGCTTCCATTCTGTTCCTATTCATGGCACAAAAAAACTTGTTCCAAGCAACCCTTCTTTAATTTGACTTCATAGTCCAACAGGCACATAAAGCAATACAGCTTCTGCTGTGTTTATTGTAACAACAATGACAATGTTAGTTAGTTCCAATAACAATGCAATCAGAATATTTCCATCTTTATTTAATTTTTCTGTGAATTACTTTTTGTTTATTTCAAAATGTATAAAGTTATTTTCTTCAAGTATTTATGAAGATAGATTTGTTCTCAACAAAATCATGTAATAATTTGGGATATAATTTTATTAATACCTTGGATACTTGGTTACATATATTAACTTCGTAAAACACTGTAATTTAAATGGAAAAATAAGTTTCTCTTAAAAATTAAAAATCACACTGAACATGAGATATACAAAGTTAAGTTAAAATCAAGATTCTTAGATTCAAAAATGAAGAAACAAGTACACATAATTATTACAGTATATAACATAAAACATGATAGTTAGAAAAACAAATATTTTAATTTTATGGACTGAAGCTATGGAGTTGCTGTGTTTTATGAAATATGTGTATGCTTTTCGTTTTTAACATACATATTTAGACTCACATATGGGTATATCAATTGTTTCAAAGCTTTGATTTTCATCATTCAATAAACAGCAGATTAAATAACATTTATAGAGGTAACTGACTTATTTGGAGGTATGCTCGCCATTTCTTTGGTTTGCTTTTGGCATTATTTGGCTTACTTTAGTTTTATACATATAATTAAAAACAACTTCTTACATTCCTCCCAGACACACCTAGAATGCAGACATTCTACGAATACTGTAGAAATTGCACAGTTCTCTTCTCTTCAGATATACCAAAACAAACCATCTTTTATACATACATACATGCATAAGAAACATAGCAGCCTGCTGCTTCTCATAATTGCTGACCAGGTTTTTATTATATTTATGTTAAGTTTTCTCAGACCAGTCTGTCACCTTGCACGCTGTGGTGTGCTGCCACCGTATGGGTTGGATGCTTGACTGCCTGTAAATGTTAACACAGCAACATGACATCAAGAACCTTTAAACTAAGAGGTTCAGTTCATGGGTACTACATGCATGCGATGCAAGCAGAACTAATGGCAGCTGATTATGTAGCAACAACTTCACAACAGCAATGGCTAAATATCAAGAAAATACATGTCCTCTTTCCTAAAATAAGAAAAGGATGCAAAGCCATGCAAAAAGAATAATTAAATACACATAATTTAGTGGCCAAATGAAAACTGAGAGCTTTCCTCAAGTTCATGACTAAAATAAGATTATGGATATTAATGCACAAGCTTGAGATGATTAATGAACACTAGATATAAGATTTAATTTAACACTTAGTTTTTGAAGCAACATAATACAGTTCATAACTTTTATTCCCTTCCAAAATGTGTAATTTTGTGTTGCCCAAGGTTCTACATTTTTTAACTGCAAGCTCAATATTTACATCTGCACTATTCTGTATTATTTCTGTTTATTTAATGCATTTTGTATGGTAAATTTCTGACATCTTGTTGCTTGTTCTGCACAACTATCAAGTTGTAACCGTTCATTGTACCCATATTGTCTCAGAATTAAAAATTATAAAAAAGGACTGCTTCAATATATGTTTATTGAAGCAATCCCTTTTTATAAAGTTTAAATTCTGAGTCAACTGATGTTGGAATTGTGTATTTAGCTTGAGAAGAACATGAAAAACATGCTATTGACTGGCTATCAGGTTTTTGCAAAAAATCTTGCTACCAAGTTTGGCAATTTCTTGCCAACTTGGCAACAGTGTCAAAGTTTCTAGAAAAAAAGTTTTTGAAGACAAAGGAGCCATTTTTCAGGAAACTTCCAGTTGTACCTTCCCTTCCCCTAAAAGAATGGTATAACTATATGGCTTCCAGGAGTTTTAACTTAAAACAAAGGCTCTTATTCTTTCACAACAGTATGCTTTTAAGTAAACTGGGAAGTAACTAAAAAGTAATTACTTAAGCAAATTTTATGCAATCTGATGACTTTTCTTCAAAGTGCAGACTGGGAAATTGAAGAAATATTGAGAAAGTGATTTTGATAAAATAAAATTATTTGCATCTATTAGAATATTATTAATTGCAGTAATATACAAATGATTCCATTCATTCAGAAAAAAAAAAAAAGATTAGCTGCTAAAAAAGCTATGTAAATTGCCAATTAAAATTACTAAATGTGGTACCAAATACTACTAAATTACATTTGGTGATGCACTGTTATTTTGAAACTCTCCAAAGTTTCTAAATGTTATAAAATTCTATCAAAGTTTTTGGCCGTCGATAATTAAACTTTATGTGTAATAATATTGACCAATTATCAGTAGGGCTCTTGCAGTTAATTTAAAATAATATCATTCTTTTGAAAAGTATAAAATAAGTAGCATTTTTTCAAACCTATATGAACTTCCAAATGTTAGCAAGCCTCCTTTGTTAGATTAAGATATTATGCTACTGAGCTCACTGCTTTACACTTCTCTGTGAATGATTTTGTGAATATTTTTAATGAGTTAAGGAGAATAATGGCTTATCTTCGAATTGTCTTTGAACTTAGCTTAAAATTATTATTCAAGCTAAAATAAGGCTTCAAGATTTTTTGATTAATTTTGTTTACTTATTTATGAAGAATTTGATAATCCGTGGCAGTCCGTGGTCCCTTAATTAAGTCACATAATACAGTCAAAAGTCTTAATCCAGGCCTCGAAGCTAGAAACTTTCTACGCTTGCGTATAATACCTTTACGCGCGTGCACATGCTTTTACACATGCACTTAATATGTTTACGCGTGCACATTTAATGTATAACGGACGGTATAAGCTAAGCTAATATTATCTAATTATCTATTTCAGTTAATGTTGCAGATTGCATTCTTCCTTAATCTTCTAATTGGATCTGGCTTATTATTTTTTGCAGACTGTTAGAGCAATTTTATGAAGAGTAAGCTTGAATTTTCAATTATGTCAAAAAGAGTTTCCGATTCTGAAGCTGCCAAAGGATCAACAAAGCGAAAGCATGTTTCGATGCCCATCAAACAAAAAGTGGAATTACTGCAAAAAATGGATAAAGGCATATCCTTTGTTTCTCTAACCATTCCGAAATCTGTAATCTGTTTATCAATTACACGCTGCTCTGCCCGGGGGGGGGTGACGTCACAGCGTCCAATGAACTGGAAGTTGATCTGTCAGCATTATCCTTATCTTCAGGGCAGATGTTTTTATTTTACTCGGCTTATAATTCCTTACTAAACGTAGTATTTCAACTCGATGTACTCCATCTTTGATATGATTTAAATCAAATTCCTCGTCATTATAAATATCACGAATACACATCAAATAGTTTTCTGGTTGCAATTTTCTAATTTCGACTATGCGTAATGTATGCTTTACGCATGCGCGTGTTGAAAGAAATGTTTAATAAAGTAAACAAATAAATATTAAGCATTTTGTTGTAAATTTTGATACCTGTATGCTTTACGCATGCACGCGTTAAAAGAAATGTTTAATAAAGTAACAAATAAATATTAAGCTTTTTTTTGTAAATTTTGATACCCTTTAGATCATAATTGCTCTTTATTTCATAAATTACTGTTTCACATTTTTAATTTTATGATTTCTGATTTTAATTTTATGATTTAATTTTATGATTTTTATGATTTCTGCATGCCATTTTACCAGATTTAAACTGATGATCTATAATCTGGAAAAACCGATAATCCAGAATCGTCGAAGTCCCGACGAGTCCGGATTAAAGACTTTTGACTGTAATCATATTCTGTTGATGACTTTACCAGGTTCTGCAAATCTCAATATAATTTAACCACTTCACTGTTTCCCTAGGGACAGACTCGGTGATTTTAAAGTGTCTTCAGGCATCAGTAACAGCATACATTCATTGGGGTTATATTTGACCTGAGTTGTTATTCCGGAGAAACTTTTACCTTTCTATTTTCCAGCCCCCCTCCAAAAATGCAGCGAAAATGAACTCAACTGGTCACAGTCTCTCCATAGAAATGAGATGAGATGAGGGACACAGCCCCACTCTCCTGGCAGACTTTAAGTCTCTCCATAGGAAGCTTGTATCAGGACTACAGAAACAAAAGTTCATTTAAAGAGATGGGAATGCACTTGCCATCCCTTTCATCTAGCACTGCAATGGAATTATTGCTGATTTGAAAACATGCCTCTAGGGGATCGTCTTTACTAATTTTCAGATAAAAGACTAGGAAATAGAAAAGAATTTTTTCTCCTGCTATGGACACAATATTCAACATCTTTGAGTGGAACAAGTATTGATAAAATATTGACAGCTGGTGAAAGGAGAAAAGAAACATTTCTAAGGCCAGGTCAGATGCAAAAATGTCCATCTTTGGAGGATAAAAGAAGCTAATATTTTAGTTTTACAGGATGGTGAAGCAGTTAATGAATGTTTGAAATACTAGTATTTTAGAAAAGATTTTGATGTTAATAGCTTTCATGAGAAAAAAATACATTGATCTACTACATTACTATGTAAATGTTAATACAAAATTATTGAAACAAAAGCAAACAATTGTCTTCAACTAATTTTATTCATATGTACAATTTTCATTTAGCCACTTGAATATTTTAATCTAATCAGGATAGTCAAAACAATGGAAAAGATAAATCACAAAAGTAACCTAGATGTAGAGTTTTGATATGAATGGTTTGTGTTGTGTAATATATATATGCACGGATGGAAGAAAAAGGCTGCTACCAGTGCTACAATCATAGATAAGACACTTATTGTGTAATGAAAACAAAGTATTTCAGACTGCAAGAACTATAAAAAAAAAAAAAAAAAAAAAAAAAAAAAAAAATGTGGTTGTGGTTATCATTTTGCACCCACCAGTGACTGGCAAATATGATGCACTAAAAACATGCTTAATTGAATTGCCTTCTGAAAGTAAGGAGTCAAAGATCGGTACACTTCTTCAGGGGCTAGAACTTGGCGATTAACGCCTTTCACAATTACCTTGCCATAAGCGAAACATCGCTGGAGAACCCTTGTTGAAATTTCTATGGATATCCCGTCTCCTGCAAAATACACAGAGTATTCTTGTTGCCTTAAGTGATGATCTCCCAAAACTCGCAGTTGTAGCTGATAAAATTACAGATCTCACAACTCTCCCTAACATAAATAGTGCTGCTACGGTATTTACTTCTCCCATTAAACAGCAAGTTGCAGAGCTGACGAAGCAAGTAAATGAACTTTTGCTAGCCATCAAAAACAGTTGTGAGCATTCCTGTGAACGAAGAGACAATCATTCCCTTCCCAACACAACAGAAGCGTAATAGATCCAATGGATGCTATCGACAGTATAAAAGACCATGCAACAACATTTGTTTCTACCATACTAATTTTGGTTCCAATGCACGGAAGTGTGTTTCTCAATGCAATTTCTGGCAGTCGGAAAACTAGATCGGTGATTGCTTGTAGGCCAACGTTGCGACCACCACATTAATCGAATTCTTTTGGTCAATCCATCGTCAAAACTCACCTTTTTAATTGACACTGGAGCCGATTTATCTGTCATTCCCAAAAGTTACAGTCAGCATGCCAAAAACCCAGCTGACTTGGTACTCTTTGCTGCTAACGGCACCAAAATAGCAACGTATGGCACCAAACTTTTGATCATCAATTTAAATTAACAACGCTCATTTACTTGGCCTTTTGTCCTGGCAGACGTCAATCAACCCATCATAGGTGTTGACTTTCTCATGAAGTTCAGCTTACTTATAGATGTTAAAAACAACCATTTAATTGATGAACAAACAAAACTCTATTCTTCTGGTAGACTTCCCAATGTGAACCCGCTCAGTACTAGCATTCATATTTTGATGGGTAACTCAAAATTTGACAAAATTCTTGTCGATTACCCCAGCTTGATAAATCCTTCACAAACTTTTGAGCGGGCACCAATGTCAACAATTTTTCATCACATTGAAACTAAAGGACCCCCTATTTTCTCAAAACCTAGACGATTATCTCCAGCATTATTTCAAGCTGCACGTCAAGAGTTTGACTTTCTCCTATCAAAAGGCCTCATTCAGCTTTAAAAAAGTCCTTGGGCAAGCCCCCTGCATATGGTTCGTAAGGCAAATGGCAACTGGCAACCATGCGGGGATTATCGTCACTTAAACGCCGTTACCAATCTGGATCGTTATCCTATACCCTATATTCAGGATTGCACTCAAATGTTTTCAGGAAAGAACATACTCTCAATGCTTGATTTAGCCTTTGCCTATCATCAAATCCCTGTCAACCCTGCAGACATTCTGAAAATGGCCGTCACTACCCCTTTTGGCCTTTTTGAATTTTTGGCTAGGCCGTTTAGGTTATGTAATTCAGGCCAAACTTGCCAACGTTTCATACATGAAGTTTTATTTGGATTGGATTTTTGCATCTCTTACTTTGACAACATCCTTATTGCATCGACTAGTGAAGAAGAGCACATCCGTCATCTTTGTCAAGTGTTTGATCGTTTGAAAAAACACGGTTTGACTTAAACCCTAACAAACGCATACTCGGAAAACCAATACGCTTCCTTTTTTGAGGTTGCCTCATTAATGCCTCAGGCGTAAAACTCCTGCCTGAAAAAACAAACGCAATTGCCGACTTACCAAAACCTACCTTGTTTTAAGCACATTTGAAAACACAAGTTGATCTTTGCTAATTCAAAAAAAAAAAAAAAAAAAAAAAAAAAAAAAGATGTCTCAGAACAACAGGATTTAAACCTTGATGATTGTTAATAGCTTTGTTACACACAAAGAATGAATTTTTGTACACAGATATTCGGTTAAGTAGATTGTTGCATTGAGGTATTCTTCAGGCTGAAGCAACACTGGTTTTCATGCAGTGCCTCTAGTGCATGACTTTCATGATTCAGGATGAAGCAACACTAGTTTTCATGCTCTGAATCATTTAAAAGTTTTAAAAAAAATTTTCCTGCATATATTACATACACAAACCGAAGAGGTTTTACAATAGCATGTTGTAAAAATGGCACAAAACACTTTAATATTTTTAGTTATATTATGTGTCTATCACACAACACCTTAAAGCTGTTCAAAATATTTTACTGATTCCATTATTTTGTCCAATCCTTGCATATTCTTAAATTTAAAAAAATCAGCCAATCAGCAAAAAAAAAAAAAAAAAAAAAAAAAAAAAAAAAAAAAAAAAAAAGAGCTAGCAGAATAAAATTGAGATACACAGCATAAGAAGTAAAATACCTAATTATTAAAACTAATTTAATATAAAGGTAAACACAAACATCGAGTTTAATGTTATAGTGATATAAATAATAAATTACTATACCTCATCTGGTCTCCTATCTGTACCTTTCAACAAAAGGTTATTAAATTCCCTTTCTAATATTTGCCTAATCTGCAAAAGGAAAACTGAGCATAAATTAAATGATATGAATGAAGAGAAACTAAAATGTTAAGCTTTAATTGTAACACTACACAGATATAATCTGCAAGAACATTAGTTAAATTTTTTTAAAATTTATTATTACTGAACCTCCGATTACTAACTTGAATATTCCTTTTCCTTTTTATTAATTTTGCTTGAAAACTGAGAGGGACAAATTACATGAATCAATTTTGAAGGATGGGATCTATACTGAAAAGGCCCACCAAGCACTGGGTGGTAAAATTCTAAAACACTGGTAGGCGAAAGGGCTGGTTGCACGGGCATTTTCGTGGTTTTTCCCATGTGCAGCATGGATACATGCCAGTTTTTATGAGTACATCCTCTTTCCCGTAGGCAGATAACCCTTATATGCTTTGTAGTAATCATATATTTAATCAAACGGATCTATAAAGAAGGGATTTCAAAGATTATAAAAGCACTTTTGAATACATGCTCAAATGTGCACTGGTTACATCATTATTTTCAATACTATTTGTTTCAATACATTAAATATTCACCACAAAAACATGATAGTTATGCCAATATAGGCCCAAAAATTTTCTGTAAATGTTTCTGCCAATTTGTTTTTATTTACATATCATTATATACAAAATGTTAAGTGTCATATTTTATATAACATTACATTTAACTCTTATAACTTTTAAGTTATGGATATTAAATGCACTCTTAGGCAATTCATTCATTTGTCATTCTTTTAAACATTTTAAACACTATATAAATATGCGACGAAATTTTGTAAACAGCTACCGATATTCCTAGTTCAAGCATTCAGCAACTGGCTACAAAATTTATTGCCATTTTGGGAACATTTGTTGATGTTTTGAAAATACCAAGAAAATTACTTTTCAGGAGTTAAAATTGACATTTGTAGAATAATTTCGTTAATTATTAACTTCTTCTGTGGCAAAGGTATAAATATTACTTTTAAATGTAAAATTGATTTATTATTTTGTGGAATTTGCAGTTATTCATAAATACACATATTAATTAGAACCACAGATAAAGTTTGTTTACAAGGACTTAATGACATTTAGCTAATTCTTGCTCAGCACGATTTTTAAGGTTTTTAGAAAATGCAATTTTCGAGGTCAAGGATTAATTTTTCTGGATAATTTAAGTCTATTCCCCTTTCACCTAATTTTGGGCACAACTGAGAAGTCAAAAGGAGTTTCACAGTAGAGTGAGAAGGAGTTATGTCTGACGTATATTATGTTGTAAATTGGAGTTCTCTAAGTAATCATGGATTTAAGTCTTTGCTCCATGAGCAGTTTTGTAATTTACATTATTTCTGTGTTAAACAGAATAATAGTGGCATCTCTCAATTATGCTTTAACTATTTCAAGCTGTTTCTCCTTATTTGTAAAAATTTTCATCTTTCGGGGCTGCATTAAAACTTCATGCTTTCCTCTTCATCTAGTATGCTAATTTAAGAAACTAATTATTAATACACAACGATACATAGTTTTTTTGAATGATGTAGGTTTTATTTTCATTTTTTTAACTGTTGAATTTAATAAAAACGAGCTCTTTCTGCGTCGTTGGGGGCATTTTATTTGAAATGGTTCAACCTCAAATTATTTCAAATCATTTCAAGGACTATTTAGGAATCGCTGCATGAGTCAATTACTCAAGTTATCATATGTTGGATAAACATTCAGTGATGAAAGCCAAATATAATAAATAATGACTTGCCAGGTTGGCATCAGGGATATTAAATATTAGTAGGTGTAAAATCAACAATGCTTGTATGTTTCAGTTTGAGATGTATGCCAAGAATATGCAGCTATTGAGTCAAATTATTGATAACACAAATTTAGGCTAAAATGATTGTTTTTTCAATAATGAATTATTTGACTTGTACTTAGTGCCAAAGTGAAATTAAGAATCGGGACTCTCCACATGTTTTATTATGGGAGGAAAAAAAAAAAATCAAATGTGCATGCGTAAAGCATACAATTTTTTTTTTTTTTTAAATAAGAAAAACGAAATTCTTGCCTTTGAGGTCCAGATTTTAGATTATTCCAGATATTGGACGTCTGGATCTCACACTTTGTATTGTATATCTAAAGCTGCCTATTAACAAGTGCCCAAGGCTTTAACATCAGAAACTTAATTCTGCAACATGATAATCGTTTTTCACATACTGCTGAGGTACTTGAAAATTTTTAATGGAAAATAACATCAGAATTCTGAAACGTGTACTATAGTTTCCTGATATTATAATTAACTCTGAATCATGTTTAAAACTCAGATAGAATATGACTGCTGTTTTACACCACACAAACAGACTGGCAGTGCAATACAAAAACAAGTTTTTGACTCTGTTCCAGAAAGCATAATGTTGGATACCTCCAGTTTATGAAAAATTTGACTTACAAAATGCATTAATGCAGATGAGAACTCTTATGAACATTTCTGGATGTCTGTGCTTTTAGTCCCCTGTATCTCCACAATTTCAGAGTCGCCCCTCATATACTATACAATACACTGTATATATTTATAAGAATATAAAATTGAAAAGAAAAAGGGACTATTCTTCTATACTGACTAAAACTAAACTCAGTGGCTTAACAGCCCTAATGGGCCAAGGCCTGCAGTGCCTGAAATCTGCTTTCTTGACCACAGGCCTCGGGGCAGGTAAGCATATGCCTTGAACAAGTGGTCAGCTTGTTGTAGGACCCCCATTTCTATACTGACTATTCAATTAAGAGAAGAATAAGATAACAAAATTAAAGCAAGTATAATAAAAATTGTTTACATGCCTGAGTATTTTGAGTTGGTATTTGACATGCCAGAGCTAATGCAGCATGGTCAAAACTTTCATCCAGGGCTATCACAGACCCATGCACACCACTGTCTGTTAAATTCACTGAAAATTCTCGAAGTCCTATGCTATCAAGCCACTTGATTACACGGTCATTTGACCAGACTAAAACATCTGAAAGAAAATATACATTTGGATGATCTTAAATATGAAAATTTATCATTGAACTTAAAGCTAGTATGAGGAAAAAATACAATATTAATATAAAGAAAAATACCATATCCACAAGAAAGTTCTGTCCAAAAATGTTATTTCATGTTTCAACATGCATATGTTTATTTCAGAAATTGTTGACTATCTCTCTTTATCACTGCATTTATAAATGTCTATTGTTCTAAATTAATTGAAACAAAAGTAAAGTCATTATTAAGTGACATGGAATCATGTTAACACTACTACAGTTCATTCACATTTGTATGGATTCCAACAAGGAAGAAATGCTATATGGACATGTCAAAATTTCGTGACAGTTTTTAGTGGAGATGCAGTTTCACATAGCACATGCCAGAGATTGTTAGGAAAATATGAAGCAAATGATTTCAACCTTAATGATTAGCTACGCTCTGGGAGGCCATCTTTGATCGATAATGACATTGTCAAGACCATGACAGAGTAAGATTTGTATTTGACAACATCACAGATTGCGAAAAGCTTCATTCAGCTCAACAAACCATTTCGGATCATATATGAATCCTAGGACTGGTCTATGAATATTCCAGACGGGTGCTTCAACAGTTAAGTGTGAAAAATTTGCATTACTGGACATCTGTCATATGAACCCTTCTGTTTGCTTGGAATAAAAAAGAACCCTTTTAGGACCAGATGGTTACTGGAAATGAAATTTGGATTACCTATGAAAACATCATTTAGGAAAGGAGCATACTGTGAGCCTGAACAACCTGGCTCCTTTGCCTCTAAGCTGAGTTTCAGCCTGAAAAAGAGAGTGCTGTATGTACAGTGAGGCATCCAAGAAACAATACATTATGAGTTTTTAAAAACTTAAAAAAAAAAAAAAAAAAAAATTTTTTTTTTTTTTTTTTTTTTTTTTGCAAATGGGCCATCAAAGAATCAAGCAAACAAAGAATACAGGCCAGCGAGGGTCACCACATGCTATTTTGGTGATTCATCAGAAAATTGCAGAACTAAGCTGAGAAATTCTACTACATCCACTATACTCTTCAGACCAAGCATCCTTCAATTATTCCTTGTTTCTCTTCTTACAAAATTTTTAAAAGGACAAAATTCAAAACTGAAGCAGATATCAAGCACTGCTTGAGTTCTTTGCCTTTAAGGACATTTTCCAAAATTTGTGCTAACAAATTGCTATCACATTGGCAAGAGATCATAAGTAATGATGAAAGTTATACTGTACAATAAATATTATTAAAGGTAAAAAAAAATATTATTTTCCTTTGCTTCCCAAATGGACAGAATTTTCCAGTAGACTTAATATAATATACATATAATATTTTTATTACTTTATATACTAGCATTTACAAATGCTAAATAATAACAGAGATGCTAAAAATAAAAACACACTAAAGTTATATATCTTCATAAGATTATTTCTGTGATAAAAATCTGATACCATTTGATAGACAGCAAACATGAATTAGACACTTCTGCAATGACTTCAGTATAAAAAAATATAATGTTGAAAATTCACAGTTGCTGCAAAATTAGAAATTTTTATGCTTATTAGTCCAGAGGGGCTTTGTTTCTGAAGGACTATTATTTTCGTTTTGCAATTTTGCGTTAAATCACTATAAATGTCCGTTTGACTTTTCAAACTGTTGCCACCAAATGTTAGAGTCTTGCATTATATTTGAAGAAACTAAATACAGTCAAAAGTCATTAATTCCGACACCCATAATCCGGACTTCAAAGCTACAAACTTTCTGTGCATGCGTCAACATATAATGCATTGACGCATTATACCTTTACGACTGCACATATGCGTCTACGCATGCGCGTTTAATGTATAACGGACGGTATAAGCTAAAATTATTTAATTATCTATTTCAGTTAATGTTGCAGATTACGTTGTTCCTTAATCTTCGAATTGGATCCGGCTTATTATTTTTTGCAGACTGTTAGAGCAATTTTATAAAAGTAAGCTTGAACTTTTGATTATGTCAAATAGAATTTCCAATGCTGGAGCTCCCAAAGGATCTACAAAGCGAAAGTATGTTTCGGTGACCATCAAACAAAAAGTGGGATTGCTTCAAAAAATGGATAAAGGCATATCCTTTGTTTCTCTAACCATTCCGAAATCTTTTTATCAATTTTACGCTGCTCTGTGGCCGGGGGGGGGATGCCACGATGAGCAATGAATTGGAAATTGATCTGTCAGCACTATCCTTATCTTCAGGGCAGATGTTTTTATTTTATTTGGCTTATAATTCCTTACTAAATGTAGTATTTCATCTCGATGTACTCCATCTTTGATATGACTTAAATCAAATTCTTCGTTATTATAATTCGCTTCCGATAGTGAAGAAAGTGACACAGAGGGTATTGAAAACGAAAAAATTTCGATTGACAAATTAGTCGGTATTCTTGACACAGCAATTATAGGGCTTGAACCGCAGAACTTTGTAACTGAACAAGAAATTATGTCTGTTTATAGAATTAAAGAGAAAGTATTAGCACATAAAACAAAGCAACTTAAACAACTTACATTGAAAGAAATGTTTAATAAAGTAAACAAATAAATATTAAGCTTTTTTTTTTTTTTTTTTTTTTTGTAAATTTTGATACTTTTAAATCATAATTGTTCTTTATTTCATAAATTACGGTTTCATATTTTTAATTTTATAATTTCTGCATGCCATCTTACCAGATTTAAACTGATGATCTAAAATCCGGAAAAATCGATAATCTGGAATCGCAGAAGTCCCGACGAGTCCAGATTAACGACTTTTGACTGTAATGAAAAATCTGCATAAATATATGTATATTTCTCACATTGTGATAAAACAACTGTATATAAAGACATTGAATTTTGAATGACGTAATCTTCCTACGAATATGAGCATATGGAAGAACAAATTTGAAATTCGTTTTATTATCAATTTCATATTTTGTAAAACTTTTATATACTATTTATAATATATAAAATATTTGATTAACAAACTCAAGGATTTCAAAGTGAGCAATGGCAACACTCTACGGGGGGGGGACTTTTTAGCTCCAGCGCGCGGAACTGTGAATAGGAAATTCTAAAGATATGCTCATTTTAAAATTATTTTGTGACATTGCTAATGAACTGAATTTTATGGTTTAAGTGCAAAGAACATGATATTTTAATAAATAAAGGTCACACACAAAACGTTAAAAAAGATTTTTTTTTTTTTTTTTTAAATATTATACTGCTTTCTTGTGATCAATTTTTGGTTTATTTAAATTAAATCTTTACACAAGTCATTAATAATTATGATAAATTGATAGCTCAAAACTGATTTTTGATTGTTGACTTCAGCTTTCCTTTTATTAGAATTATTTAACTATAATTCATGTTGAGATCTCCCATAGAGGGCATTGTAGCACCTCTCAACTGTGTGAGAAATGTTTCGATTTGAGCGAGAGTTGGTGTTGGTTTTGAAAATGTAGTGTGAAAAGCTATGTAACTGTACTATGTAATATAACGTAATTAAATGTATTTATTTAAAATGTGGAGCAATTTTGAAGGAGCATACTTCACATTTTTTTGGTGCCATCAAATGAGGAGGAGTCGGTCTTGGAAGCTGTGGATTCTAGTGATTTAGTTGCAAGCTTTGTTTGGGAATTTGTGGAATTTTGCAGGAAGTGAAAGTAGGGCTTGTTTTGATGTTTTGTTTGAAATTTGAATTGTTGTAAAATGTCGGAATTACCTAAGCCGTAGCACAGTTAGGTCTACGTTAACTAAGTTAATTAACAAAGTTGAAGCTTTTATTAAGGAAGATTCAAGCGAGATGGATGTTACGAATAAGGTAGATACTTTAAAGGAATTTCAAGCCCAAATAATAGATAAGGAAACTAATTTAAAACGATTAAACGATGAAGTGAAAAGTCTTTGTAATTGTGATGATATAGAAGAGGAAATTACTATGTCAGAGGAATATTCAGAAAAATTATCCTCTGGAAACAAAAGAAAACCAGTGTAATTCATAGATTAATGAAAGATGAAATGAATATTAGTAACGTATCCTTTTCTATTCCTGCAACTGCTCAAGGTACACTAGAAAACTAAACCTTTAGAGAAACCCAAATGTGTTGAACTCTTCACTGTATGTAGATGATTTATATTTTGGGGGAAATAGTGTTGAAGAGAGATTTAAGCTATCTTCTGAAGCTTTTGCGAAAATTAAAAACTAATTCTGAGAAACTGAGGTCATTCTGGATACAGAATGGACTTAGCGATGATACGTGTATTCCTGATTGTCAGTTGAAGGTTTTAGACTTGAACTGGAATCCAGTAAATGATAAATTTTCTTTAGATATAGCAAGATTAATGGAGAGTTTGAAGAGCACAAAGCATTATGTCTTGCATGCTGCAGCAATGATTTTTGATCCAATTGGTTTTGCAGCTCCATTTGTAGTTAGGATTAAGTGTTTGCTACAGGAAATTTAGGAGCATGGTATGGGAACGTGAAATTGCCAGATGACCTTAAAATCAAGTGAACCAACTGGTTAGAACTGAGGTTAAATATGTGAAGGATATTTCAGTTCCGAGAAATTTATTTGTGCACTGTGAGAATTTAATTAAAAAATGGAAATGCACATATTTTGCGATGTGTCTCCTACAGCTGATGGTGCTGCAGTGTATTGTCGTTACTTAAATGATAAGGGTAACATTTCCGTGTCATTTGTCATGTCGAAAAGCAGAGTAGCTCTTTTGAAGAAATTGATGTTGCCTCGATTGGAACTAATGGCAGCAGTCATAGGAGCTAGAATAAGAAAGTATCTGGGAGATTTTTTTTTATGAATCTTATTGATAAGTTTGTGTATTGGACCGATTCCTTAATTGTCTTGTTTTGGATAAAGGGTTTTGTGAAACATGTTATCAAAACATGTGCTATGATATAATTCATATAGTTTCAAACTGAGGTAAATTTAGCAGTAGGACTCACTTC